CGTCGGCTAGCGACGGAGTCTTCACAGCTTGTCTCGGGATGTAGCCGGCTTGTCTCTTGATCCAACATGGCAGGACGCTATGTATCAAAATGCCTGTTTAGGCACTGGGCGTCTGTAACCGATAGGGCGCCCAATCCAGTAACGAGGAGATGCCTAAAGGCAGATCCAGAATGACTTCAGATCTTCTGCAGATATACGCTCCCGCGAGTCGAAAGACGCCCAGCTCAAACCGTAAAGCCACTGTGAGGAAATTCCAGGCCAATATTCACATGGGATATAAAGCCTGCTTGAATACTCTCCCATCAGGTACTCGACTGACTTGCAGCGCAAAACTTGTCGAACAAACCCCGCATAAAGCTCTGCACAGCGACAGTAATCACTCAAAACATCTCAGCAGCACCACAAAATGTCAAAACTCACCGACTTCCGTCTTCTCTCATTTGATGTCTACGGCACGCTGATTGACTGGGAGACCGGCGTCCTAGACGGCCTGAAATCCCTCATCGACAAGGCGGGGCTCTCGAGGAAACAAGCCTTGGAGCTATACTTCGAGCTCGAAAGGACACAGCAGAGCAAAACGCCCGACAAGCTGTACTCGGAGCTTCTCACGGCGATATACCCGCAATTTGCCGCTCGATTGGGTCTTCCGGTCCCGTCGGACGAAGAGAGCGAGTCGTTTGGACGAACAATCGGCAAGTGGCCCGCCTTCCCGGATACAGTCGATGCACTGACCCGGCTTGGGGGGCAGTATAAACTCGTGGTCCTCTCGAATGTCGACAGGGAGAGTTTCAAAGCCAGCAATGCAGGCCCGCTGGGGGGTGTGAAGTTTGACAGGATCATCACGGCGCAGGATGTGGGGTCTTATAAGCCCGATCACCGCAATTTCGAATACATGCTCAGGACGGTGAAGGAGGAGTTTGGAGTGGAAAAGAACGAGGTGTTGCAGACGGCGCAGAGCCAGTTTCATGACCATCATCCGGCCAAGGAGATGGGGATCAAGTCCGCGTGGATCGAGCGGAATGGAACGATGGGGAATCGCGACGAGGTGGTGTTTGATTGGAAGTTTAAGACGCTGGGAGACATGGCGGATGCGGTGGAGGAGGAGCTGAAGGGGAAGAAGGTCTGATTGCGCGGTGGGCTTAAATCGCATGTTGGCTACTCTCTACGAGCAAGCAAGCGCTTCTTGCGAGTCGGCGCATTTGGTGATAGATGGTAGACAGATGCCTCTCGCATCCAGTTCTGTTGCGTCGATGTCTACAGCTAAGCGACTGGTACTGGATCTCTGCCAGAATGGCGGGCGCAATGGCCAGGGAGGTCGGGACCTGTGTGATAAAGTATCCACGTTGCTGGGATCCCGGGAGCTTCCTATAGACAAAAGTTGTTGGCCCACGTTGCACTCGTATTGCTTAATTCCGACAACACGAAACAAACAATGTCTCAACGCATCGCCTTTGTGAGTATTGCAAGGCATCACTGATCTAGTTTGTCACACTGGAGCCATTGGTGATATGATGAACGGCGGCCCGATCGAGCTACAAGAAGGAGAGCGCTTGCATCAACAGCAGCATGGCGATGAATTCAGCGTTATCAAGGTCAGGTAAACGACTTGGTGAGTGAGAGCGCCGCAGAGCGAAGATGATCGGAAACTGCATTGTCATGCGCATCGGCTGTGGTTGCCTCGGCCTGATGTGGCGTCCATGTGGCTGTGCTCCAGATTGGTTGCTCCTCTGCATTTGCGGCGGTAGCTCCCGATTCCGAGACTGCGTGAAGCTGCGATAAACTCCAGCTGCTTCACTTGTCTCTCACACCCACCTGTTCACACGTGATTGTCTCCTGATCCTGTGGGCAAAATGTATAGGCTGGGTTGTCGTGGTTTGGGTCCCGCTCTCAAGGCCTTCAGAGTATGTGTCGCCGTCTCACATTTTGTCTGATAGCATGGTTGACAGAAACGACAGGATACACCAGTGCGGAACTCGATCCAGCAACAACAGCGGAGGAACCTTAGCATCCATGAATACCTTTCGGCAAACTTACTGAAATCCTACGGGATTGGAGTGCCCAAAGGGGAGGTTGCAAAAACACCAGAAGAAGCTGAGGCTATAGCGAAGCAGATCGGTAGGCCGAGTCGATGGTGAGCAGGTGAGAGCGATAGCTGACACAGTCTTCAGGCGGAGATGACATGGTGATCAAGGCTCAGGTCCTGGCAGGTGGCCGAGGCAAAGGTACATTCGACAATGGCTTGAAGGGCGGCGTCAGGGTCATCTACTCGTATGCCCACCATCCTTGCGTCACCGAGAACCGATCCGTGACTGACCATGACTGCAGACCGACGGAAGCAAAGATGTTCGCGGGCCAGATGATCGGCCACAAGCTCATCACAAAACAGACGGGTGCCCGCGGCCGCATTTGCAATTCAGTCTATATCTGCGAACGCAAATTTGCCCGCCGAGAATTTTACCTCGCTATCCTCATGGATCGCGCTACCCAGTCGCCTGTCATCGTTGCATCCTCGCAAGGCGGTATGGATATTGAGACCGTGGCTAAAGAGACGCCTGACGCCATTATCACCACACCCATCGACCTTAAAACGGGTGTGACGGACGACATTGCAAGAAACATTGCCAACGAGCTTGGGTTCAGCGAACAGTGCATCGAAGATGCGAAGAACACGATTCAAAAACTGTACCAAGTTTTCATGGAGAAGGATGCTACTCAGATCGAGATCAACCCGCTCAGCGAGACCAGCGACCATCAAGTATTGGCCATGGACGCCAAATTGGGCTTCGACGACAACGCCGAGTTTAGACAAAAGGAGGTCTTCAGCTGGAGAGATACATCACAGGAAGATGCCGATGAGGTCAAGGCCGCAGAGTATGACCTCAGCAGGCTTTTCTGAATCCTCGCTAATCGTTCCCAGGCACGGCTTGAACTTCATCAAACTCGACGGCGATATTGGTTGCCTTGTCAACGGCGCCGGTTTGGCTATGGCTACCATGGATATTATCAAGCTCAGCGGCGGTTCACCTGCAAACTTTCTGGATGTTGGTGGTGGTGCTACGCCGGAAGCCATCAAGTCTGCCTTTGAACTGATCACCAGCGACCCCAAGGTTACGGCCATCTTCGTCAACATTTTTGGAGGTATTGTCCGATGCGATGCGATCGCCCAAGGCTTGATTAACGTTGTACAACAAATGAATTTGAGATTGCCCATTGTATGTCGATTGCAGGGCACCAACATGGAGAAGGCAGCTGAATTGGTAAGGACTTCAGGACCATCTGATGCCACGTTCGTACAGCTAACATGCCGGCGCAGGTCAACAACTCGGGCCTGAAGATCTTCTCCATCACAGACCTGCAAGAGGCAGCCGACAAAGTAGTCGACTTCTCAAAGATCGTGAAGATGGCGCGGGGAATCGATGTGGGAGTTGAGTTTTCTCTTGGTATCTGAGCCCCCATGAGCTGGCTTTGGTTCGTGGTTGATAGCTATCAGGGTCTCCTCCTTAGCAGAAGAACCGGTTTCATATTCCTTCTGCGCACATGAACAACAATGTTACAACACAAATTTCCCCAAGCAGCTTCGACCCTGCTGTGTTATTCCGGGTATGCTCGTTGCTGGTAGCGTCTCAACAGAACACTTGGTTTCCCGCTGTGCGGTGCCGGACCATTGTGAAATACTGAGTACACGACTCCGATCTGAATCAACTTTCCTTAAGGTGTTTCGCTCTCTCAAGCCTCTTTCCCCATCGCCCTGCAAGCTTGAGTCTCTGTCCTTCTCCCGCAACCGAACATTCCTTTCTCCCCACTCATGCTACGCTCATGTGGCTCGGTCTATCCACGTTTGTCACCTCGTTTGCCGGTGGTCCACCAATGCACGTCTCCTACGTAGCGCTGTGCACAAGCCGCCGGAATTTTCCGACACCAAAAGAATCACCCTGGATGCGTTTGGGAGGAATAATGACGGGCAGTGACTCTAGACGATATCGTCACTCTCTGTGTTGGTCAAGTACATGGGGCCTGGCTACCATCGAATATTGATGCCACGGGGTTGGAAGCCACGGAAGCGTTGGGTAACCTCATCATGTGGGCCGTTCCCGTTTCAACCCTCTCCACGTCTCGGAGAAGTATTACAACATACTCAGGCATACTTACCTGGAGGCCGATAGATTTCCTGCCGCCAAGCGACGCACTCTATACCCCGATGGTCGGCCGCGCGTTGAAGCAGTAAGGAGAGAGCGATAGGAACGATAGGAAAGGGGATATATTCCTGGTTAGATAGATAATGTCATGAACAGGGTTCAGGCAGGCATATAAGCTAAGAGGTCCAAGAACCAGGCATGAATTGCCATGATTCTCAGTCTTTTTGGGGCGATCCCCAAGGATCTGTGGACCTCTTCCTGACACCTCGCGAGTATTTATAGCGTACGCTGTAAAGGCTCAAGGAATACTATAGTTAGCCTAAAAAGGAAATTCCGCGTCAACTGCCTAGGTGCGGCACCTTTCAAAAAATGACCGTGCGGTACCTAGATGTGGAGAGTCGTGACGGGTGGCAGACCACGAAGTGGGTCAGAAGCAATTGGTCGATAGTAAACGTTCTGATTTGCGCGAGGACGAAATAAGCCAGGTATATCCCCACGGGCAGTTGTAGCGTTCGTCGTAAAGGCTCGAGGAAGACTTTGGCCATGTCGGCGGCGATGGTCGGACATCGCCCGTGGAGGAACGCTGAGGTATCGACGTTGGCCAACCGCCAGGAGATGGGCCGTCCGTGGTGCTATGTATGGCGAGAGTATAACACTCCATTTCTAGATTCGTGCCCGCGTGCTTTGTTTAATGTCTCAGTGTGAAGATGGCGAATTCGAGGAGGAAATTAGAATCGTAGTCACGTCGGCGGAAGATTAACCGACAAAGGAAAGTACGCGGTTAGCAGTGAGGCTATAAGTAGTGAGGTGGGTGCTGAAACCCCCCCCTTCCCCCCCCCCCCAAAAAAAAAAATTGTTTTAATGTGGATAAACAGGGATTCGAACCCTGGACCTTTCACAATCACAGATGATGCGAAGCGAAAATCATACCCCTAGACCATTTACCCCTTTCGGATACAACAGCAGACCTGCTGGACCAGCGTCGAGTTCGACACCAAATTTTGACGAGATTTTGCCGCTTACAATATATCATATACGCAGTTTGGGAAGGTCCCCCGCGGGCGGCCTGTCGAAGCACCGATCGCATAATCCCGCCCCTAGTACGAGCCAGGCTTATGCCTGGCCTGCTGACGCACCAGCTTCAACGACGATCGCCACGTCAACTAAAGCAGCACGGATATCCGGCAAAAGAAGCTGCTTCTCCTCTCGGGAATTCGAATCACAACCCCCCCTCACGTCTTGCTAGTTGAATATCATAAGCAGCCATGCCCCGGAACGTTCCTGGTGGATCATCGTCATCTCTTCTCGCTTTTTGTTTTCAACGGGCTCCGGTGTGAAGAGTCACTGGAGGTGCACATTAAGGACTGCATCTTTCACCGCCACATGCCATGGATGTAGAGCGACTCATCCAAACGCACAAGAACCCATCCATGAATGGAAAACACTAGCCCTCGATGCGCGCCTCTGCTCAAGGTCAGTCAACGGGGCAATCAGCAACATCTCCGGGTAGCAGGCGTGGAGAACACACGGGATTCCGGACGAGCCGCGGCATTTGACTTCTCTGTCCATGGTCGCTTCAATCTCCTACCACGAGTCGTTTGCGCCACGAGCCCGACCCGTCAGCCAGCCCGATTATGACAACAGCAATGGAGATCTGGACGCTGGCGCGACCATAGTGCCCAGTAAAGACGGGTGGCGCACGCCTTCTATGGATGACTATGGTCATCGTGCCGACCGGCAGGATGGGACAGGTTATCCTCCCGCACCGAACGCGGAGGTAACGGCACCGGGAAGGAATGGAGACGACACCGCCGCCGACAAGGCTGACGACGCCGGCGAAGAGAAGCCCAAGACCCTCACCTGGTCACAGCGGATGAAGCATGTTACGTGGGCTTGGTTCACCCTTACCATGGCAACGGGCGGCATTGCAAACGTTTTGCATACTGGTACGTAATGAACCTTGCCCCGGCGGAGATACTGAGCCTCGAAAGGACATGAGCTGACCGACGAGCTACTCTCTTAGTTCCCTACCGGTTCAGGGGCCTCGAGACCATCGGCGTCGTCGTGATGCTCCTCAACATCGTGCTCTACATCATGATCTGGGCCATGATCATCACGCGGTTCACCCTCTACCCTTGGACGTTCCGATCGAGCTTCACCCATCCCACCGAATCTCTCTTCGCCCCAGCGTTTGCCGTCTCGTTCGGCACCATCCTCATCAACATTGTGCAATACGGGTCCGGGAGTGTGGGGCCGTGGCTCAACCACGCCATCGTTATCCTCTACTGGTTTGACTGCGGGTTGGCCATGGCCCTCAGCATAACCATCTACCTCACCCTGTGGTCCACTCAGACCTTCACCATTGCGAGGATGACTCCGATCTGGATCTTTCCCGCGTACCCCTTGCTCATTATCGGGCCTCACGCCGCCAACCTCTGCTCCAAAGCACTCGCCGCGCACCAAGCGATCCGGATCCTTGTCGGCGGCTTCACCATCCAGGGCATCGGATTCCTCGTCTCCCTCAGCATCTACTCGGCCTTTGTGTATCGGCTCATGACACAGAAGCTGCCGGCCGAGCCGCTTCGGCCGGGCATGTTCGTCTCGGTCGGACCGTCGGCTTTCACGGTGAGCGGCGTCATCGGCATGGCCAAAGACCTACCTCGCGTCATCGCCTCTTCCCCTGGCTCCACCTTCATGGACGTGCCCGGCGTCCTCGCCGCCCAGATCCTCCGGCTCGTCGCGAATTGGGTGTGTCTCTGGCTGTGGGGTCTCGCGTGGTGGTTCTTCTTCGTCAGTCTCCTCTCCAACCTGGCGTGTCTGCGAGGGGATCACTACATGCCGTTCGCCATGACGTGGTTTAGCTTTATTTTCCCTCAGACGGCGCTCACGACCGCGACGTTCGCCATTGCCGAAGCCTTCGACGTGGGGGCGATCCGGATCATCGGCTGCGTGATGACGGTGATACTCATTTTGGGTTGGTTTCTCGTGGTTGGCTGTATGATCCGGGCGATAGTCAACAAACAGGTCCTCTGGCCGGAAAAAGGGGAGGACAAGAGCGAGGGAGGTTTCAAAGCAAGACCGGACGATTCGAGTGGCAATTCTACGGCGCGAGCGAAGAAGGACGCACCTTTTAGTTCCGATGGCGGTGCGCCTCGCCGTGCTCGGAGATGTGACGATGAAATCCAGAGATCTCAAGTGGGCGATGCGGCAACGTGGAACGTTTGATCACAACGACCTTGCAGCCTGGTGTTGCTGCTCACGGATTTTGGTCCTGCACGTACAGTGGGTCACCACCTTCTACTAGAGGTCTGCATGATGGCTGGCAGTCCAAGACGCGGGGCGCACGGTTGTAATCTTGCTGCGGAGGGTTGGATGGTCCTTCTTGCGCTTGTCTCTTGACGCTTCCTTACGATTTAGGAGTCCTGCAACAGTCTCCGACTCGCCAGACCTGGTTCCGAAATGTCCATGCCTAAATTGAAGTCGTGGTGGCCTCAAACTGGTCGGACGACAAGCGAGGACAGAACACCGAATGCTGCATTGGTGCCATCATAGCCCTGGGCGCTCTTTCGCCGCCAGACAGGCCCCGGAGGCTAAACAACATGGGCGAACTGAGGAGTACGGTAGCAAACCAGTGACAGACGGGGAGGGCCAAACCCATGTTCTTCGTGCCGGCACCGCTCTACTACACTGTGGTCGTATATGCAGACCCCCGGGGTGTGATCTCACCAACCTACACAAACCAATCGCTTAGAGGGAGACATCTCGATACCTTCAATCGACTGCACCCTTCTGGTACGAGTGCGGTCCTGTAGCTGGACGATCCGCGATAGAGGCCCCTCTATGCAAGCGAGAGTACCCAGCCAGTGGATGCACGCACCTGTCGCGTACCCGTAGTTTTTGGGCTTCCTGGTCTCCGTGCATCAGTATTGGGGCCACTTGGCCACCAAATGACCACGAGAGTCATGCCTTTTTGGACGCCGGGTGTGCAGCGCCCTCGTATCCAGTCGAGCCTGCCGCCCTTTCGGTCTCTAGCGCAAGACGGTAGACAGTCCTTTGAGGCGATCCGAAATCCGGGCACCCACTGGAAGAAGTCTTGGTGATCCGATCTGAGGTTTGCCCTTCCGAACTGCAACGGCAACTGCAACTGGATCCCAGACCTGCTGCTCTCTCGTGCACGGCAGGCTCGCCATTTATCTGATTGTATTAAAAGGTCGACAGGACCTTGTGGAGGCATGGTCCCAACCTTTCTCTGCATATCCTGCATCCCGTACCTGCTGAATCTACTCGCCCGCATCAAAATCGCACCACTTCCCATGCCAATCGCTGGGCGACCCAACTTCTTGTGTACGCGCTGTGTCCCGTTGCACAAGCCTAAAGCTTCGCCGCGTGGGCATCGAGCCCTAACCAGCCCCAACCAGCCCCAACCAGCCCCAACCAGCCCTAACGAAGTCCAACCAGGCCCAAACTTACCTTGATTTAGCCGAACCTCAGCCGGCCCCAGGAACGAACGGTCCCCGCGAAGCCCTGTGATGCTTTCATGGACGACCACATCAATGAACTGCTACAGACTGCATTCGAAGAATCCATACTGTCGGGCGACAATAGCGGTGGTTTACTGGCGTCAGGCCCGTTGGATCCCCAGCATCGGCATCAGCATCAGGACGCCTTTTACCCTGGTGACGATCTGACCAACTATTACCACCACGTTGCTGCGCAGACGGTCCATCCAGCAAACCCGACATGCTACGAGTCCTACGGGTACTCCTACTCATATGAACCCCATGGCCTGGGCCAGCAGTTTCAGCACAGTTTCCCGCCGCTGCAATACCATTCCTGTCCCGGCTCTTCGTCGACACGATCTCAATATGGCCCAGGCCCTTTGTCGACGCAATACCAACCCAGTTCCAGCTCAAACCATTCACAGGGTCGCGCCCTACGCGCCATAGCTCTCAAATCCCCCCAGTGGCCCATCTTGCCAGACCATGAACCGCCGAAGCCAGCCTCCGAACATGCCGACAAGGCGGTTATCTTCTGCTTGAATTCCGATCCCCAGACCCCCATGCTGGGCATAGTTGACCAGCTCGAGAACGACACATGGCTCCACCTGAGAAATGGTACGGGATGCATTGCTCAAGAATCTCCGGTGCCAAAACCCCCTCCCTGCCCGGGCTGACTTGATCTGCGCCTCAGTTATTTATTGTGAAACTTCCCGACCCGTACCGGCCACCACCTTCCACCTCGATAGCATCACCGTCGTTTCTCCCGACGCTGTGGCACAACAACTGGGGCAGGCACCGGCTTCGATCCCAGCAGCGACACGCACACGGCGGCAAGACACGACGCAGAATCTGGCCGGTATGTTGGCTCCGGGCCCACGCCCACGTCCTGGCACAGGCCCAGGCCCACCCTTCATGCTTCCTCGGCCGTGTATCAAACGCGCCTCGGTAACACTGTGCCGTGGTGGATGTGGCGGTACTTTAATGTCAGTCCAACACGGAGCATGCCCTGAGATGGACCTCTTTCATGTTTTGCGTTTTGCTTAGAAACCAGATGGTCACTGAGAATGTGTGTATGTGAGGGGGAAAAGCGAGAGTGAGAATGAGAGACACTGATTTGTAACCCTCACCGCAGACAACGATATTGCAACCAATGCGACGACCTGACCACGACTCCCGACCCCATGTCCCTGTACTGCCAGACGTTCAACTGCCAGGCTGTCCCATCTTCGTGAGTATTCAGTCGTTTATTTGAGTTGTTGCCTTGTCGCTGCGTCGCGTGGCGTTCACTCCTCCATTCACTCATTCATTTCCATCCCTCCACAGACCATACGGTCGGCGCGTTGGGGTGTTAATCATGTCCTTGAAACGTCGAAACGTCGAAACGTCGAATCCGCAGTGGCTAGACCGACTGACAATTCTGACGCTGTCCATTTCGCAATATCTAGATA